TTTCTGTACAACTGTATTTTACGTACTTTTTACACGCCTCGCGATCGCTAAACTTTCTGGTCGATTGCAAAGTACCTACATAAGTAACTGGCGGTTGTTGTAGGCTCGATTTATCACAGACTTCATTAAAGGGTTTTCACACACCATTCGATCACAGTTCATCGTGCTTCAACTGGACAATGTTCGTTCTATTGCATACAGACGGATCGGACAACCATACGAGATCTTGCAAAGTTGCGGCGTGCATCGAACAAACCGCCAGGACAACCAGCACGTGCATCAAGTTATGAGAATTCAATGCAAAATCCAATTTTCCTGGGATCCATTTCTCAGGTATACGTAAAGCGCCTATAGTTGCTCCCACAACGGATATGAGGTCCTGAAGAAACATATTCAACATTAACAATTCCTTTATTCTAGTTGCTTATGTAAAATTAAGATCTATCGAAATATGTACTTGTAGTACAATATGAAGTAAAGCATCTGGAGAACCACCACCAATGCCAAAACATCGTAGAGTCATTACCATCATTCTCATGAGGAAAGGGGGCGCGAAACATAACCTTCTCTCCCATGGAGAACGCGCGTGCATTGCCTGAATGAAGTATGTTTAAAAATAACAAGAATTCAAATTAAAAGTTGAGAAATTTTTATATATATATATATGTACATACCTGAAGTAGTCCCCAAATACAAAGGAAGCAGTAGATAAAAATACAACAATACCAGCAGCCATCAGGTAAACAGTGAACTGTTGCTGCCATCATAGGTATTGCTCCTAAAATTATAAATGAAATTTGCACCATTACCGTTGCTCGTTCGATAATGTTATTGCGATAGTGATTTCAATAATTACCGAAACTCTGACACAGCCATATGCCTATCATGTCTAATTTTAATAGAGTTCTGTAGAAGATTTCGTTATAATTTAAATTCATAAAGAGATGATAAACGAAGGAGCCGATCCATGGACTAACTGCGCCGATTAAATGGCACCAAGATAAAATTCCTACGAGTGTGCCTTTGGTACTCCATGGAAGAAGTTGCGGAATTGTTACTAACATGTACAAGATAGCAAATCCTGCAACAGAATTTTTCTACGTTAAAATGTATAATTATTAAAAATTAAGTGTAAATGTTAAATTTTAAATAAATGTCTTTAGTTCGTGTAAATATTACGTGAAACTTATTAACCCTATGCAACAGTGTTTGCTTATTATCGCACATATGTGTGACTACTTATATCGGAACATTTAATTAAAAACAATGTTAACGATATTATATTTTTATTATATAAATATAACGAAGTTTTGTGCGTAATAAGATTTTATATGATGCATGAATAAACAGGTATATTTCTCTTTATCGTAGTCTCAGAATTTAATCACTAATTATCTCAACGCTAATGACGTCATTACATGAAGTGTTTCACGTATAAATGAACAATATTATTTTGTTTATTTCTACAATCCCCTTTACGCGTATTATTCTTCGGTTATTAATAAATTCTTCGATATTTGAAATGATTGACGTAACCTGACATTTTTGTATTAAAAGTTTTCTGCATAATACACAATGAATAAATTGATTCCATGAATTGTGAAAAATCAATTGACTTGCTAGAAGTTGACCAGACTGTGCTTCGTTAATATTTCAATTTACGAACTTCTTTATGCATGAAATGTAGATATAAAGAATGTATACATGAAATTACTATTATCGTGTATCGGTATTAAGGATATATCTAGGAAGAATACTGTAAGGCTTCGTTGATCGATCTTCAGTTATCCCGCAATGCGCCGATAGGAATATAATGATTTCTCACATAAGTTGCCCTTGAAATAGCATAGCTCAAGGGTAATCCAGTTTTCTGCTTAATTGAATCACAACTGTTACATCTCTTTTTTTCTTACCACCTTCAGGTAACGGTTTAAGATGATTACATACCGGAAATCGATACATAAAAACTCTCATATCTCCGGATTTAAACAAAAATCCCTTTCACAGCTAGAACATTTCACTTTTACTCGAAGAATATTCTCGTATCAACAGCAGTATCAAATTTACAATGTACACAAACAGTATATACAAATATTTGTTTCTGCTAATTGATACGAACATTCTCAAAAAAAATCTCTGCTTATAACCCCTTGACACATGACTTTTTTTTCCTGACAATGCATCAATCTACTTAACCCCTTGACTTATGATTTTTTTTCCTGAAAATCCATCCAAGCGTCAGTTATTAATATTTGACTACTGTACTAAATAAAAAAAAAACTAATGTATCATAGATTAATTACACATGAATCCTTCTATAAATTAAAACGAAAGTTAGAATTAAAAAAAATTACAAAATTGCAACGTTGTTTGCAAAATTGCAAAACTGTAAAGTTATTTTCACACCAAAGTAATGTTACGAAACCTACTTACAATTCCCAATGTACAATTGATCGTAAGAATCTCGAAAATAAAAAGAATTAAAATTAATCTTCATTACTAAAATAACTGTTTCTATCTCGATCAAAACCGTGCAGCGAGTATGACAGGTTGCCGGAATGCAAGGGGCTAAAAGCAAATTTCTGTTTAAAACAAACAAACAACACTTCCTACCACCGTACAGAGTAATCCACCACGAGTAAAGTTCGTTGAATCACTCCATGGGAACTTACCATGCGTCATGATATTAACTGTCTCATTGTGGATGTAAAACAGACTGGCGAGACATCCTTTGATAGTCATGAGCGGCCTGTAACCGGTTCGTATGTGAGGATTGAACTGCAGGTGCTGTGGCATGTCGCTCCATCGTCGCAGCAGGCGAATCTTATGCTTCTCCTGTCGCGACGAATCCTGGTGCATCCTCCACTGGTCAACGTCTCGATGATTGAACGTGTCCGCGTTGTCCTGGAGCGGAGGGTTTGGCGCCTCCGCATGATGCTCGTCGTCTCGAAGCGACGTCGAGCAACTTGGAATGTTCGTGAAGAATGTTCGAAGCATACGGGTGCACGCACACGCGGGAACAAAAGTGCTCTATCTCCGTGAGCAACTGTCTTTCAGCGTCGGCGACGACGACGGTGGTGTCGTTACTGCGTCACTTTCGTACTCGACGCTCTGCGTCCACCACCATCTGTGGTTCCAGCCTCTCTGACGGTGCCGTTACCACGGAAACCTCATCGATCCTTTTCATTGCCAGAGGGAATGCACCCCTGAAATGCACGCGACTAGTCGGCCGCGGGCTCAGTCGTTGAATTAGCGGAGAAATGTCGGCCAAAGATGCACCCCTATCGATGCACTCTCGCCCAATTCGCAGGACGACGCTGTTTTTAGACTTTCGCGAGGTCGCGGATTTTGTGGCGAGAAACCGAGCCGAGCTGGTTATTTTTAAGATCGAACCATGTGAAAATAGGTTCGTGTAAGATGTTCCGAAGGAGGTCGTTGATACACGGGGAACTTCCTCGTTCTCTCGAAGGGATCCCCCCCAGGAGGAACGTACGGAACAGCGGGTTGTTTGGCCATGAGAGAATCGCGTGTTGTCGGATGCTTTTGTCTCTTAACGAGAAGCATGAATGAGATTTTGGCTTATGTTCAGTAACGTGTTCTTTCGACACGCTATCTGTTTCAGGTAACGAACGATATGTTGGTGGAAATGGAACTTTCGTTTAACGAGAAAGGATATTTTTTTTTTTTCCTAATAAAATATTTCAATGTGACTTTTTTTTTAAGTTTGCTTCAACGTTGAAGAAGTTGCAATTCTACCGCAGCACGGAACGTGTTAATTGGATTCAGTCGCGTGTGGATAATTATGTTGGTCCTCGTACTAGAAACTAAATAACTTTAATAATGAAACGTTTTTTGCTTACTTTTAGAAATATGAAAGTTACTTGGATACGAGTTTGACATTAAAAGTTTCTCGAATCCTGAGATCGATCAAATAAACGAGCAGAATTAATCATAACGTGGATAGAAATAGTAATTGTTTGACAGAAGGTGTAATTAAGGAGGAGATATCTTGATTTCTTCGTTGAATTTCTCTTTAATATTTGACTGTTCTTTCTAGTGTCTTTTGTAGCCGCGAGTTATTTAGGAAATACACTAGCCTTGATATTTATGGAAAAGGTTAATTAAAACAACACGTTACTTTTTCCATTATTTTATTTTATTTATTGGTTGATTCGTTGGCTTTCAATTTTACCATTTCTCTAAAAATTTTATTAATTTTTTTTTACTTTAATAATTTATTTTTTATTTTATAAAAAAAAAATTCATCAAAATACCTGTTAAAACGACATTTCACATTTTCGCATTGTATACGTTCATTTCTCATATTTGCATAGAAATTTTCGCTTCGATGTATTATACGGAGCGTGAACGATAAGCAATACATATTTTTAGCCCGTTCGTTAGATCACACATATTTCGTATGAAAGTACTGATCTTGGTGTAGGGCCAATATTAAACGTGACCTGAATGCTGTGTAAAACGAAAATGACGACGCAATATTCATTGACTCTATATTGTTCTTTAGAGCGATTGCCTTTTCACGTCAAACGTCACTCCGCGATCTTTTATGGTAAACAGGGAAACAAGACCTAACACGGGTAACGCGAATTTCACGCGACCTGCCTCCTGCGGCTGACGCCGTAAAAAATAAGGTCAGACACTCAAATCAATGGACAGTTTCCAACTTGTAAGCTTATATAATTAATTTGTGAATCATAGTATATTCCATATGTTGCGTACGATTGTTTCTATCCTTTGTAACCATCTGGTCTATTAACACTTTATACGTATAGCATGATTGAAAAGACCACACTACTCTTTGTAGTCTGATTAAGATCAAGAGTAACGTCGATTTCAGTTTGTGCCTGGGGTTAGTTAGTTGTTATACAGCGCAAGCGCCACAAAGTAAAACACGTTACCTGCATCGAGTCCTCTCGGTAAGCTGCAACTACCCGGGTAAAATGGGTGCAGTTTTAGTACAGTGTCTATTCTACCGTTTTACCGCGAGAAACGTATCTTTCTTAAATCGCGTGTTAAAGGATCAGAACAGTTATCTTCATCGTGGACAACAGGTAAGTTATACGTATACATTAATACGTTAACTGAGAATCATGCGTAAAGTAATTCAACACATTCATCGTTCAACCCATTTCATTAGTCCTGTTAATTCTATCGATCGTGATTTTCGTTCTTTTATATCACGATTGGCGCAGGTCCAGTCGTATCACGTGGCCTTGTGCATGGGGTAATCACAGTCACATCGAGTTATCGACGTACTCATGGAAGTTCCTTTATGCTAAAGGGTTCAGTGTACCTTCGATGGTTACAAAATGTAGTTCACGGTATACTTTCGTTCTTTTTCTTTTTCTTTTTTATTCATCTTCGTAAATAGCTGTGAATTTCGATAGAAAGTTTCAAATTAAGTGTGTAAATATAGAGTAACAATAAGAATGTGTAATACAGTGATTGAAATAGTTGCAGTACTCGTACAGAGAGTTATGGACGATTGCAGCTGATTTGATTCCTTCTGCAGTAATGAAATGCTACACCCAGAAACAATCTAACTTCATCTCGTTTGATTCAGGAATAGGGGTAAGTTGATTTTAAAATGTGTACCGTCCGAGGTGATGTCCATTTTGTTATTTTTAATTTTCGCGGCTACTGTTACTTATCATACGTAGAACTATCATTCACATGTAAAAACTTTTTACCGATAACGGTATAGTTACCCTCTTGAATATACATACTTGGGTGTGGTGCCACCTACGATGATGTACAGAGGTCATCAACTAGTCGCTGCGAATTTATGTTTACTTCGGTACCTCGTGAACATCATGATTCACGGTATTGTTGGTTAAAATTTCAGTATGTTTTGGAATTTAATAACTCTGGTAAAATGTGGTGTTATGCGAGTATTTACTAATCTAATTTGGGGGCAGGTATGTAAAGTTTTTCTAACAACATAAGTACAGCATGTTAAATGCTTTGTAACGAAGGCTAGATTGTTTTTGTAAGACATATTTCAGACAAAATTATTGATTTTATTATATATCGATGATATATTCATAACAATTCAGCAATATGCGATACTATTTTCACGTATTTCCTGTATAATTTGTTTCTTCTTTGTACCGCTCATAAACGAGGTTATCGAGCATGTACCATACATGCCACAAACATCGTTCAGCTTAGTAGAAATATTTTTTATCGGTATCGATTACCTTATTGTTATTTTATTTCATCTTTATTTTATATTAATACCATATTTTATCGAAATACATGTAGTTCTATTTCAATGCTGTACATTGAAAATTCAATTAAAACATAAAAAATAAGTAGAACGTAAACAATAAATATTTTACTAAACCATTTTTTGATACAATATTAGGATATAATTCTGAATATTGCAAGTTCAAGATAATTTATATAATACATACATATATAACATTTTTATTACACAAATCAAAACGATCGCCTTTTTTAAGTAGATTACAATTGTGTGGAATTTTGTAATTTTTTTTTCTTATTGAAAAAGAAATGTGATGAATCTGTAGTATTTCTCCTAACCTGGTAGCCGGCACAAATCACCTATATATGTATGTGTCTTTTTGTATCTGCCGGAAGTACGTATGTGGGGGATAGTCGGCTAAGTTCGTGCATAGTCGATTTTCTTCGTAGACAGTCGTCCTTACGATTGTACCCGAACATAGCCGAATGCCATTCGCCAATCGCATCGATCCGATGTCCACGTCGTTGTCACACAACAGTGTTGTACGTAGCACATCGTTGCGCTCTTTGGATATTTTCTGTTTGCGAGTATATTTTGGGACCAACCGAGCTTGATATATCCCTCAAATGTAAGTTCTTTCTTTGTAATATTATCGTCTTATGTTAAACTTGGATTATTTAAGATGTCCAGCAAAAATTGTGCATGTGTTGCGTTCACTGGTACTTGATGCTTATCTACCTCCAAGATGGCCGCCGTTTCATGAAAATTCCCTTATGGCGTATGCTTTGCGAATGTCTCTCTACTTGTAAATTTCATTGCTTTCATTTCTTTATGATTACGGAATGTGTACGCATTGTATCTTATTGTAATAAACAATCTATTCTTCAAGAGCGTTAGCGTCTAAACTTGACACATCGTATGAAAAAGTAAGCGTTTCGTTGGCATTGATTTTGCTAGCGAGCGTGCCCACGCGTACCCGTTACCACATTTTCATTTCATTTCATTTCCCTTCTTTTCATTACATCTGTCATCATGCACATCGTATAGTCGTTCTAATCGTCTTCTTTTCGATATTTCTCGTATAACGTGCTATCAAACGGTTTTGGCGGGATTTTCATTTCCCGTTTTCACCTGATAAATAAATCCTCAGGATTTTAAATAGGGTTGCACTATATTCTCGAACTTTCTCAGATTTTCTGACGAATCATAGGTATATTTATTTCGGAGTGGGCTGTTACTCTTGTAGTACTTAGTATGCCTTTACGATGCAACTGCCCACATTTTGCAGAATTTTTTGAGCTGATGTCCACGTCGTTGTCGAAAAACAGTGTCATACCACAAGCATCATCTTCACGTTCCTGGATATCATCCATCTTCGATTTCATTTGGGACCAAGTGAGCCTGTTTCGCCTTCCTAATGTAAGTACACATAGTGAGGTTTCAGTAGAAAGGCTCTGGTTCTAATATCTTTCTGAAGGTTGTGCAATATTGTTACACATACATTACATACATTTATGATCTTTGATCGTACAGTTCTTTGCTTCAATGCTGATTATAATATCATAAATTATGTTCAAAAATCAGCCATGAAGTTTTGTATCAAATGGTAGCTATAGGTCTCCTAGAATTGTTAGTTGGTCTTTTTTTTCTTGCTTAATTTCATTTTGCTGCTCTTTATCTTCAAATTAATTGTAATGCAATATTATAAGAATGTAAATAAAAGTTTTTCATGAAATTAAGTGTTATTTGCATGAATTTATAAAATGGGTTGAAACTAAATGTAATAAAAATTAATTTGTTGTTTAAAAATATAGTTTGATATTTTTATTATTTTTGTTTTATAAACAATATATACACATTTTATATCATATATTCTTCTTGT